GTCAACATGTGCTGGCCAGCGAGCTCCAGGGATCCTTCTGTCTTAGCACCAGATGACATGCGTGTGCTACAATGTCTGGCTTTTTACATAGATACTGGGGATTTGGACTCAGGTCCTTGTGTCTGTGTGGCAAACACTTTACTGACTGACTTAACTCTGCACCCCTTCCTCTTGTTCACACACTGGGTTCTATATGAACCAGACAAATTCAGATTCAGTGATCCAGCCTTCCAATAATAGCACCTTAAATACTAGAAAAATAGAAGCTTACACCATTTCTTCACCCAATCAGGAAGGCAGGGTCATCTGGATGGGCTAGTGTATACCTCACAGTGCTACAAACCAGGTCTGTTGTCCATGTCACAACAATGGTTACCTGCATATTCCAACCCCTGGGATGGGAGGAGGTGTCCTCTATACTCCCCATTCTGAGGAGGCAAATTCTAGGGCTGACAAAGCCAATGGTAAAATATTCCATATTCCTGTTTTCCCACGATTTAGGAGGCTGAGGCAGGAATTCAAGGCTAGCCTGGGCTATATAGGTAGATCCTGTTTTAACATTTATCAACAGATAGCCTGAGCCTATAGAGTATGGTGTGGAAATCCTGACTTTCCATTGACAAAGATGTCTAGTGATCATCACACAGAAGGTGAGCAGGGAGGCGTCAGTGTTGTTAGGAAGCATTTTTCTCTCCCCAAGGTTGGTTTATAGCCCACTCATTATTTAAGGAATGGAGGGAAAGCAGGTGGAGGATACCATGTTATCTTAGTTAGGGTTTTACTGTTGTGAACAGACACCATGACCAAGGCAACTCTTATAAGGACAACATGTAATTGGAGCTGTTGTACAGGTTCAGAGGTTCAGTCCATTATCATCAAGGCAGGAACATGGCAGCATCCAGGCAGGCATGGTGCAGGAGGAGCTGAGAGTTCTACATCTTCATCTGAAGGCTGATAGGAGAAGACTGGATTCCAGACAGCTAGGATAAGGGTCTTAAAGCCCACACCCACAGTGCCACGCCTACTCAAAAAAGGCCACACCTAATATATAAATCATTACACATGTCATAGGCAGGTTCTTCCAGGGATGTTTTATCTGTCTGTTTCTGGTGGTCCCTGACTCTGTGAGGTCACAGTACAAGGTCCAAAGTCTTCATTCAGTAGCACAGCACACCCATAGCATTGTAAGATCCTGGCTCCATCCCCAGCAACACACACACACACACACACACACACACACACACACACACAATTCCTTCCTCAATGATGGGCTGATAGCCTCTTTAAAAAAAAAAAAAAAGGCCAGTGAACTCCAGGGATCTCCTGTCTCATCTCCCACCTCATGTGCTGGGATTACAGCACATGGCTGCTACATTCAGCTTTTACATGGATGGGTTCTGCAAGTGGAGCCCAGGTCCTCTTCAGCCTTTTATCTTTGACTCAGAGTCCTGGAACTCACTATGTAAATCAGACTAACCTCAAACTCACAGAGATTCATGACCACTGCCTCCTGAGTGCTGGGATTAAAGGTGTACACCAGCATGCTTGGCCCAGGTCCTCATTCCGTTTTTTTAGTTTTTTGTTTGTTTGTTTTGGTTTGGTTTTAGATTTATTTATTTATTATGTATACAGCATTCTGCTTGCATGTATTCTGGCAGGGCAGAAGAGGGCACTAGATCTCACTATAGATGGTTGTGAGCCACTATGTGGCTCAGGACCTCGGGAAGAACAACCAGTGTTCTTAACCTCTGAACCATCCCTCCAGCCCCCAGATCCTCATTCATACAAAGCAAGGACTTGACCAACCAGCCAGGGCTCCGTGTTCTGAGGAGGAAATTGTCAAAGGAATTGTGGACATACTTTGAACCTATCAATCTCTCTCAGCCAAGAGCATACAAGTTGTTCTCTCTCTCTTTCTCTCTCCCTCCTCTTCTTCCTTTTCCTCCTCTCCTCTTTCCTCCTTCCTCTTTCCTCTTCTTCTTTTTGTGTTTTTTCTTTGTTTTGTTTTTGTTTTTGAGACAGGGTTTTTCTGTGTAGCTCTGACTATCCTGGAACTCACTCCACTGACCAGGTTGGCCTTCGTCTCAGAGATCGCCCTGTCTCCTCTGTCTCCTGAGTTCTGAGGATAAAGGTGTGCACCACTTGCTTGGCACAAATTGTATTTTCAGAGGGTTTGTGGTTTCATGACCAACCAGAAGATGGATAGATGAATGGAGTAAAGTTAGCGTCTCAAATCTGGTACCAAGAACCTAAAATCTACTCTATCCTGCTCTGGTGGTGAATCGAGGAGAGACAGAGACAGAGAGAAACAGAGAGATAGAGACACAGAGACAGAAAGAAAGATGGAGAGACAGACACAGACAGAGTGACACACGCACAGAGAGAGAAAGAGAGAGAGAGACAGAGAGAGACAGAGAGAGAGAGAGAGAGAGAGAGAGAGAGAGAGAGAGAGAGAGAGAGGAGGGAGAGAGAGAGAGAGATGTACATATATATGACCAGAATGGACCACCCCACCCACACCTCAGAGGAAACTTCCTAGCTTCCTCTTTCAGAAGAGGCTCCACCTTGGAGGAGGGTGAAGAAAGGGACGTGGCAGGGTGCTCCTGGCCTCTGACCAACTGTGCCAATGAGGTGGGGTAGTCTGTCAGAGATGGACTCAGATTGGCCCAGTTCTCTGTTCCGTAACTACAGCCAGAGCTGAGGCTCTGGGACTGGCTAGCCTTGGGTCACATATTAGTCCTGCATCTAAAGGACAAGACCTGGCACAGGGGGAGGATGCTGGGGGCTAACACAGAGTAGAAGGAAGTATGCCCAGGCTGTTGCCAGGTTGGAACTGGGCAGCCATCCCAATGTGTGTGTAACTGTTGCCTTGGCTGAATTTACAGCCAAAGGTTGCAGTTGCCCTATTTTTGGAACAGCAGGAAAGAGCCTCTGCTTCAGACTTGCAAAATGGTAACTTTCCACAAAAACAGCCCAGGCAGATCTGTGGGAAGGCCTCAAGCCTCCTGCACCTGAACTCTGTGGCCGAGGCCACTGCCTCATGTGTGGTGGCCATACTTCTAAGATGAAAGCAGTCCTGGGGGCAAACGTCTTCCTGTTATTTTCTCTCCTGCTCTGACAAAAACTAGGGTCACGATGGAAATTAAGCTGAGTGGAAACAACAAAGCCTGTGCCTGTGGACCCAGGGCAGCGTCTCTGCCTTGTGGCAGAAAATAACCACGTAGGCAAAACAAAGCCCCTCCCTCAGCCTCTGTCTAAAGTTGGCAGAGGAGTGTTCAGTGTTCAGGGGTGGGGGTGGGTTTGTTGCCGAACAGAGAAGCACCAGGCAGTTTGGGGGGATTGGAATATCCATGGGTAGAGTAAGGAGAGACTTCTGGCTGGAGTTCACCCCAGCTTCACCCCCCAGGTGTACAGGATGGGCGCACAGCCTTCCTAGCCCAGACACAAACACCCAGGCTGCCTGAGTTTGGATGGGACCCCAAATTTCTACCACTTGACTTCAGCCTGAGTATTTAATATGTAACTACTATGTATGTGTTAAGTAGTCACTGCGCTTGTCCAGAGAACATGCAGAAGAAGTTTTTGGGGATGTTTGGGGAAGAATGCAGGCTTAGTGTCCACCTGCAGGGGTGCAAATTCCAGCTCTGGTCTCAGCGTGAGAGAGAACAGGCCCAGATAGGGTCAGCTATGTTTCCATGGGACCCACACACAGGTAAGAGCAACTTGGAGAGTCCTAACGGCACATCTGAGTCCCCTCAGAGTAAGAAGAGTCTCGGGACACTCTCTAAGAAGGTGGCAGCAAATAGCTGCTGTTGAAGCAACTCTAGAAGATGGTGGAAAATTCCTATAGATTCCTTGCCTGTATGACATAGCTGAGGAGTGCAACTCAAGGGCTAAGCCCTGATCCCAGGACTGAACCCTGATCCCTGAACTACAGCCTGATCCCAGGACTGAACCCTGATCCCCAAACTACGCCCTGATCCCAGGTCTGAACTCTAATCCTTGGACTAAGTCCTGATCCCTGAGCTGAATCCTGATTTCAGTCCTAAGACGGCTCTTCATGGTGAGCACTGACCCCTGGGTTAAACCTACTCCCTGAGCTGATGATCCCTGATCTCAGGTTGGAGATCTGATCCTCAGGCTGATCCCTGATCCCTTCTCATTTCCCAGCCCTCTCAATTTTAGGAGGGCTATAAAAGGGAAACCTTTTGGGAGAATGAGGCCAGTCCCCTTGAATCTACTATTTTTTCCTCTATCCCAAGCAGCAGCTGGCTAGCGTTTTTAACCTGGATACAAAAGGCTGTTCCACCTTCCCAGCTGAAAAGCAGATCCAGCCACCAGTCTCCAAATGCTCCCACTTTGGAAACAGCTGCAGGCCTGCCTTGGGACTCTTGCACTAGGGACTTGCTGATTGCCAGCATGTGGAACAGGAGAATCTAACTGTTCATAGCCTCAGATGACACATGAGAATTGGCCACATGCCTGCACATGTGATATACTCCTGTCACATGTGTCACTCCTGAGGGTGTCTGCCCAGAATGAGTTCACCAAATGAGGCAGCAACTAGCTGATACCCTTAGGGCTATCACTGTATTTTTCTTGGATGAAGGAGCCCTGTAGGGTTAAAGGTCAGTCACCTCCCTGCAGGAAGCCCTCTAGTGGGACCTGGACATTTAGAGCCCCAAAGGCCTTCTTTCCTGGCAGCTCTGGGCCTGATATTTTAGCAAGGGTGTCAACCCTGTAGAGGGTCCCCAGCGTCTTCATCCTTGCCCCTTAAGCCCACAGTACAGCTTCCTGCCATCCTGCCATTGGTGTTTTGTTTTGTGCTTTTGCTTTTCTCTCTCTCTCTCTCTCTCTCTCTCTTTCTTTTTTTTTTTTTTTTTTGACAGGCCCTGACTGTCCTGGAACTCACTTTGTAGACCAGGCTGACCTTGAACCCACAGAGATCCTCTTGCTTCTGCCTCCCAAGTGCTGAGATTGAAGGCATGCCATGCACCAGCTCGTGCCATCATTTTTATTATGCTGGGGTGGTGTTTGGGGAGGCATATGGGCTCACATCTTTATGCAAGCAGCCAGGAGACGGTTCACATGCTCAGGAGACTCCAGGAAGGCCTTGAGCTTGGGTCGGGCTTTGAGGCGTGCCACATAGGCGGAGAATAGGGGGAAGTCATTCAAGTAACCAGGGAACAGGAGCTCAAGGTTCAGAAGCACGTCTAGCAGGCGGTAGTCAGCAAAGGAGATCTACGGGACGAGGGGGTGATACGGCTTGAACTGAGGCAGGATGGGGAGAAGCTCCATGGAGCACAACACCGGATGCTTCCTGCTTCTACCTCTGTATCTAGCCTCAGTTTACCCTTCTGGGAAAGGATCTGACAATGAGTAGGTTGGGAAAGACCTGACCCAGTGCTCACCTGATCACCAACGATGAAGGACTGACCACCTTTGTTCTGGGCCAGGAGAGTTTCAAATGGCTTCAGGTATCCTGGAAGCTCCTTCAGAATCTGGTCCTTGCCCTCCTTCTATGGTCAGAAATGATCTCAGTGAGGGATGTGCAGCCAGATTGACGAAGTGATTTCCCTTTCCTGACCACCCCGCTTGGCACTAGCCTGAGCCCCTACATACACAGATATGGAGATACTGCCGGGCAATGCGCCTAAATAGGTCTTCCAGTCCGTCGTTCACCATGTCCACCAGGGCTGCCTCTTGTTGGTCTTTGCCGTAGAGCCCTGGGTCAGCAGGCAGGCGGCAGGCTCAGGTTCTGTACTCTTTCCTACATGCTTGCTCAGACTCAGCCTGGGCCTGCAGGACCCTACTAGCTAACCTTGCTTTGGAGGTCTTCCCTGGCTACCTCAGCCAAGTCCCATCTCCGCAGGGCAAGAGCCTACCAAGTCCCAGGGCCCTAACCAGCTGAAGCCCAGGCCTGCTTTTTGGGCCACACCTGCCATTTGGATTTGTCACACCAAGGGAAGACAAAGGCTCTGGCTTGTACCTCCCCTAGAACAAGCTGTCTGCCCATCTACCTCAGGTTACTATGGTGTTGTGGGGCTCCAGGCACCCTCTCCTAACCAGACCCAGAGAGAGAACAGCTTGCCTCCACCACGGTCCTGCCATTCTTCAAACAGGCAGAGGCCTCCTCACTGTGATTCTGAGTTTCCCAGACTCAGGTATGGCCAAGTTAGAAAGACAAGAACAGGAAGGTCTACTGGGAAGTTTGTAGCCCCACCACACTGTCGAAAGTCGTAGCGCCTCATGAGACATCATTAGAAAAATGATGCAAGTTGGAAACTCACAGCCCCTCGATGTGCAGACAGCAGACAGCCTAGCACCACACCGGGAGCCTTCTGGAACCTGGGCCCTGCACCATCCTCTAGGGTAAACCACTTGTCCTCCAGCCAAGTGGGACATTGGTAGCAGCAGGTGAGGCAATTCAAAGCCCCAGGACATTTTGAGGAACATCTATCAGGTAGGTGTCTTTCAGACCTGGGCTTCGGGACTCACCGAAGGAGCGGCCCAGGTGCCGTAGGATGGCATTGGACTGGTACAGAGTGAGCTCTCCATCCTGAAACTTGGGGATCTGCCCAAACAGCTGGGAGAATACCTCTCTGTAAGGGGTGCTGAACCTGGCTGCCCCCAGCCCTAGACACAGCACCCCAAATCTATGCCCAACCTCATCCCCACGGGGAGGGGTAGAAGGAGACAATCACTCACACAGGAAGCCTTGAATGTTCCTTGCTCCCAAACATCCAAGGTCACCACCTCCTCCTTCCAGGTCTGACCCTGGTCAGCTAGCAGCATGCGCATGACCTCGCAGCGCCCTGTATTGGGGTGCAGGATGAGGATGAGGCGACAGCGAAGAGACCTACCCTCAGAACATCCTGGGAGAGTTTGGGAGGGTGGAAAGTTGACAAGAGGACCAAACTAGCTTGGGAGCCTCGTAGGGAGGGGAGAAATGTGGTGGTAGAGGCCGTGTCCCAACAGTATCTTAGAAAGTGAAGACCCAGCCCCACAACCGCACTGGGAAGGAAGGAAGAAACGACAGACAATGCAACAGGTCTCGGTCCCGCCCCCAACATGGTCTTGGCCACACCCCTCCGACTCCACTGTTGGGGATTCCCAGGAGTGACCCAGAAGACTATTGCTTGTGCCTTCATCTTGAAAGCGCTGAGACCACACCTCGGGAGGGGAAATAGAAGATGGTGTAAGGTGGCACTAAGGAGAGATAGACAAAAAGGGCGATGAAGGAGGACCTTGCCCGGGCTGCAGGACCAAGGGAAAGGTAGAAGCGGGGTGGGGGTGGGGGTGGGGGCTGAGGGGTGGGATGGGGGTGTAACTCTGACCCCGCCCTCACCTCCAGGTTCCTACTTACTGTTGGGCAGATGCAGTGTGCTGCAAGCTCAGCAGGAAGAGACGAAGTGACCCTCGGCCTTTTATTGATAGCGAGGCTCCACCCCCTCAGACATCCCACACTGCCCCAGAAACATGCCAAGTCTTGGTGTTCAGTGTAACAAGTTTCTGGCAGACGTGGTGGGGCAGAGCGGGGCAGAGTCACCTTTATATCTGCGGTGCTGTTCTCTACTGGAGTTTTGCAAGAGGCACACATGGTAAACTTCACACCCTAACAGTCTCAACCCACGCGGTTTCTTGTGTCCTCAGGGGCTTGGACAGTGCCTTACATGCATGAAGGTCTCCAGCCAACAGCACATGGTATAATAATAAATGTTCCTTGTAAAAATAAGGCAATGCAGAGGGGCGCTGGTTAATCCCAGCACTTGGGAGGCAGAAGCAAGAGGATCTCTGAGTTCAGCCCAGTCTGATCTACAGAGTTCCAGAACAGCCAGGGCTCCAAACGGAAACCATGTCTATAAATGACAAAATAATAATAAATAACAATAAAAACCAAAACAACAACAACAATAATAATGGCAGTGTCACCTGGAGTGGTGGTCCACATCTTTAGTTTGCAGCACTCAAAGTACAAAGAGAGGCAGCCTTTTCAAATTCAAGGCTAGTTTGGTCTACACCAAGATCACCGGCCAGCCGGAGATGTATGGCAAGAGCCTGTCTTTTCAAGAAAAGAATAAAGGCGTTTTAACTAATGAACCATCCCCTCCTCTCTTGGTGACTATAACAGAAAACTCTTAGCAAAGAGTTAAGGCTTACATGTATCAATCCTCAAGACTAGCACTGTTCCTGTTTTATAGAGACAGGAACTGACACAGAGAAGTAAAGTGACATGCCCAAGGTCACACAGCTAGTAAACAGGATTTAAACTGGCTTGGTATGGCCAGTTCCCCATGAACCTCACTTCTGTCTATCTGTCTGTCTGTCTATCTAGTGAGACTATTGTTTCTCTCCTCTGTGCATCCCTGGCTGACCTGGAACTTGCTCTGTATACTAGGCCAGCCTCAAAACTCATAGAAACCCACCTGTCTGTCTCCTGAGTGCTGGGATTTAAGGAGTGTGCCACTACTGCCAGGCTGGGAACCTCACTTTTTAAACCTATTGTTTCCTCTTTAATACCTTCTTGTTGAAGAAAAGCAGAATATGTCACTTCAAAATATGCTTCTGTAACATAAACCGCACCATTGGAGCAGGGCATGGTGGCACAGACCTAGACTCTTAATGTGGTGAGCTCCAAGAAGAAAAGTGCTGAGTGAAGCCAGCCTGGGCTGCACAGGAAAACCGAGTCTCAAAAACTAAAAATGGACTGGAGAGGTGGCTCAGTGGCTAAGAGCATGCATGGCTCTTGCAGAGGACCTGGATCCAGACCCCAGCTGCCACCCCAGGCAGCACACAAACACCAGCTCCAAGAGTCCAGCACCTCTGGCTTCTGAGGGCACCTGCACTTACAAACATATCCTCTCCACACATAATTAAAAATAAAACAAATATGCCAGGCAGTGGTGGCGCACGCCTTTAATCCCAGCACTTGGGAGGCAAGGGTGCTCCTCTCTTCCCTCCAGGCACTGCAGCACGCACACACGCACGCACGCATGCACGCATGCACACACAATAGTAATAAAATAAAAAATAAATAAAATTACCATAAAACTGAGCAGGTGAGAACAGCAAAGGTGTTAATAGTGGTGATTAATAGTTAAAGGTAGGCGGGTGGTGGTGGCACACGCCTTTAATCCCAGCACTTGGGAGGCAGAGGCAGGCGTATTTCTGAGTTTGAGAGTTCGAGGCTACCCTGGTCTACAGAGTGAGTTCCAGGACAGCCAGGGCTACACAGAGAAACCCTGTCTCGAAAAACAAAACCAAAAAAAAAGAAAAAAAAAGTTAAAGGTAGTGATAGGGATTTCTTCATACCCTCCCTCCCTCCCTCCTTCCACCTCTCCTTTTCTGCTTAGAATGTGTGGTGTATGCCGGGCGGTGGTGGCACATGCCTTTAATCCCAGCGCTTGGGAGGCAGAGGCAGGAGATTTCTGAGTTCAAGGCCAGCCTGGTCTACAGAGTGAGCTAAATAGAGAAACCCTGTCTCAAAAAACAAAAAAACAAAAAACAAAAAACAAAACAAAAAAAAGAACGTGTGGTATATATATATATATATATATATATATATATATATATATATATATATGCGTGTGTGTGTGTGTGTGTGTGTGTGTGTGTTCTGAAGTCTGAAGGTGTGCTGTGTGTATATTTGTGTTGTAAGTATTTGTGTATATGTGTGGTATGTGTGCTATGTGTATGTGAGTATAGTGTGTACATATGTGTGTGTGATGTGTGGTATGTATTTGTGTGTAGTATGTATATGCATGTGATATGTGTATGTGTGGTGTGTGTGGTATGTGTGTGTGATGGGTGTATATGTGTGTGTGGTGTGTGTGTTTGAGTGTGAGTGTTGTTTCTCAACTGCCACAGGACATCAGGTCCCACACTGGCCTGGAACTTATCTAGCAGGGTAGGCTAGCCGGCCAGTGAGCCCCAAGGACCAACCATCCTTTCTCCATTACATGTTCAGCCTTTTGTGTTGTTTGTTTGTTTTGTTTTAATGTGGGTCATGAGAGTTCAGGTCTGGTCCTTGTGTTTACAAGCCAAACCTCTCACAATCTGGGCCATCTCCCAAGCCTGGGAGGCCAATCCTCCTGGCATGCCCAGGATTCCAGCCAGTTCCCCACTAGGGTCCTTCACTGGAGTTCTCTGTGGGTCAGAGGAAAGTGGAGATACAGAACCACCCACCTAGAACTTGGGGGCACCAAAATCACCCCAATCAGGAGAGCCCTAATAGCCAAGGCTCACGCTTGGGAAGCACTTCCCCTCCCTTAAGCCCACAGCTTTGTGGGGCTGGGAGCGGGTGGAGGAGGTGGTGCCAGAGCTGGGCTCTCATCCCTGGCTCACAGCTGGAGGAACATCTGCCCATCATAGAGCCGCTTACTAAGAGCTTTCATAGAAACGATCTCATTTCATCTCCCAAGCAACAGTGGGAAGAAGTCAAGGAGGAAGGGAGAGAGGCTTGCTGCCATTGTGCCGATGGGACATGGTATCTCAAAGACATTCCTTCACTATGTAAAAGCAACACAGACTTGGGGAAGCAGATGCTATAGTTTGAATAGGTGACCCCAAAGGTCTATGTACTAAAGACTTGGTTATCAGACTGTGGTGCTGTTAGCACTGTGGTTTGCTACCTGTGGGTCACAACCCCTTTTGGGGCTGGGGGATTGAAGGACCCTTTCACAGGGGCTGCACATCAGATAACCTGCATATCAGATATTTACATTACGATTCATAACAGTAGCAAAATTACAGTTATGAAGTAGCAACGAAAATAATTTTATGGTGGGGGGGGTCACTGAAACATGAGGAACTGTGTTAAAGGGTCACAGCATTAGGAAGGTTGAGAACAAACCACACTGTATTAGGAGACGATGGAACTCTGTGGTGTGTGTGTGTGTGTGTGTGTGTGAGAGAGAGAGAGAGAGAGAGAGAGAGAGAGAGAGAGAAATAGTCAAGGCCAAAGAGTGTATTTGTCTATCCCTCTGTACCTTATTTTTTGAGATGTGATCTCTCACTGAGTTTATCAGTCCAGCTCGGTTTGCTGAGCCCAAGGGACCCCCTGTCTCCACCCCCACCCTTACTTTTCCCAGTACTCAGGTAACAAGACATGTTGCTGTGCCCGACTTTTGTGGGTGCTAGGAATCTTCGTGCCTGTGTCGTAGGACTTTACCAAGTGAGCCGTTTCCCCAGCAGAGGAAGTGAGGTCATTGACTGCATGCTTTGAGGAGGATGTAGAGAAAATCAGCCCCTCTCTCTTCCGTGAAGTGAGCAGTTTGGTCCACACGTGCTCGCATCATGGTGTGCTTCCTCAGCCCAGGACACGGAGACCACAGTCTGACACTCCTGAAATCGTGAGCCAAAGTAGACCCTTCACTTCCTACACGGGCTGATTTCAGGGATGATAGCCAAAAAAAACTACCTGGTAAATAAATTAATTAATTACTTGATGGAAGAAAGAAAGAAAGAAAGAAAGAAAGAAAGAAAGAAAGAAAGAAAG